CTGACTTCTTCCTGAGTAACTACCTGTGTTACCCACTCTTCAGTTTTGAGTTTGGTGACTTTGGGTGATGGCTTAGTCTCTATGCCCTCTGTGGTGAAAGTGCTTTGGCTAAATTCGGGGATAACAAGTCTACCAGGACTGGATTTGTCGATCTTTTTCTCGGGCTGTGTATCTTGGTTGTGAAGAAATTCTATTTTATCCGCTGATAGCTTGTTTGCTTGGAGAGGTGGTTCCGATCTGACTTCTTCCTGAGTCACTACCTGTGTTAGCCACTCTTCAGTTTTGAGTTTGTCGACTTTGGGTGATGGCTTAGTCTCTTTGACCTGTGCGGTGAAAGTACTTTGATTAAAGTTGGGAATGACAAGTCTGCCAGGACTAGATTTGTCGAGCATTTTCTCGGGCTGTGTAGCTTGGTTGTGAAGAAATTGCATTTTATCTGCCGACAGCCTGTTTGCTTGGAGAGGTGGTTCTGATCTGATCTCCTCTTGAATAAGTACCTGTGATACCCACTCTTCAGTTTTGAGTTTGTCGACCTTGGGCGATGGCTTAGTCTCTTTGACGTCTGTGGTAGAAGTACTTTGATTAAAGTCGGGAATGACAAGTCTTCCAGGACTGGATTTGTCGAGCTTTTTCTCGGGCTGTGTTTCTTGATTGTGAAGAAATTGCGTTTTATCTGCTGACAGCCTGTTTGCCTGTAGAGGTGGTTCTGATCTGACCTCTTCCTGAGTTACTACCTGTGTTAGCCACTCCTCAGTTTTGAATTTGTCGACGTTGGGTGATGGCTTAGTCTCTTTGACTTCTGAGGTAAAGGTGCTTTGATTAAAGTCGGGAATGACAAGTCTTCCAGGACTGGATTTGTCGAGCTTTTTCTCAGGCTGTGTATCTTGATTGTGAAGAAATTCTATTTTATCTGCTAACAGCCTGTTTGCCTGGAGAGGTGGCTCTGATCTGACTTCTTCCTGAGTAATTACCTGTGTTACCCACTTTTCAATTTTAAATTTGTTGACTTTAGGCGATGGCTCAGTCTCCTTGACCTCTGTGGTGAAAGTACTTTGTTTAAAGTCGGGAATGACAAGTCTGCCAGGACCAGATTTGTCGAGAATTTTCTCGGGCTCTGTATCTCGGTTGTGAAGAAATTGCATTTTATTTGCTGACAGCCTTTTTGCCTGCAGAGGTGGCTCTGATCTGACCTCTTTCTCAGTAAGTACCTGTGTTACCCACTCTTCGGCTTTGAGTTTTTCGACTTTGGGCGATGGTTTAGTGTCTTTGACCTCTGTGGTGACAGTACTTTGTTTAAAGTCGGGAATGACAAGTCTTCCAGGGCTGGATTTGTCGAGGTTTTTCTCAGGCTGTGTATCTTGGTTGTAAAGAAATTGCATTTTATCTGCTGACAGTCTGTTTGCCTGGAGGGGTGGTTCTGGTCTGATCTCTTCTTGAGTAACTACCTGTGTTACCCACTCTTCAGTTTTGAGTTTGTCGACTTTGGGCGATGGCTTAGTCTCCTTGACCTCTGTAGTGAAGGTGCTTTGATTAAAGTCGGGAATGAGAAGTCTGCTAGGGCTGGATTTGTCGAGGTTTTTCTCGGGCTGTGTATCTTGGTTGTGAAGAAATTTCATTTTATCTGCTGACAGTCTATTTGCCTGTGGAGGTTGTTCTGATCTGACATCTTCCTGAGTAACTACCTGTGTTGCCCACCTTTCAGTTTTGAGTTTGTCGACTTTGGGCAATGGCTTTATGTCTTTGACTTCTGTGGTGAAAGAGCTTTGATTAAAGTCGGGAATGACAAGTCTGCCAGGGCTGGATTTGTCGAGGTATTTCTCGGGCTGTGTATTTTGGTTGTGAAGAAATTTCATTTTATCTTCTGAGAGCCTGTTTGCCTGGAGAGTTGGTTCTGATCTGAATTCTTCGTAGGTAACTACCTGTGTTCTCCACTCTTCAGTTTTGAGTTTGTCGACTTTGGGCGATGGCTTGGTCTCTTTGACTTCTGCTGTGAAAGTACTTTGATTAAAGTCGGGAATGACAAGTCTTCCAGGGCTGGATTTGTCGAGGTTTTTCTTGGGCTGTGTATCTTGGTTGTGAAGAAGTTGCATTTTATATGCTGAGAGCTTATTTGTTGGCAGCGATTTTTCTGAACGGACATCTTTCTGAGTAACTACCTGTGTTTCCCACTCCTCAGTGTTGGGGTCTTTTACTTTTTCGTCACTTTTGACATTGTTGTCCTTTGGTGTTGGCTCACATAGTTTTACCTGATTGGTTGAAGTGTATTGAGTAAAATTGGGAATTATAAGTTTTCCAGAGTCAGATATATTTGTTGTTTGGTGCTGTGTCGTTATTTGTTTTGTATTGGTTGATGGGAGACGCTCTTTTTGGTGCTGCGGTTGTGTTATTGATTTTACTCCGTACACCTCTGATCCAAAAATCTTGTGAGAAGGGCCTGGGCTTGTGACTGAGTAAGAGTATGTTGGTGATTTCTGGGTGTCTTGGGGGGTGTCAATAAGTTGCCTTTCTCCTTGGGATGAATTTTGTGCTGTGGCATGGTATGCCGTAGTTCGGGTGGTTAATTTTAGTTGTCTCCTTTTTTCTGCGTCTGTTGATGGTTGGCCAATGCCCTCAGTATGACGATTACCAGATATTTCTCTTACGGCTCTATTTTCTGATTTAGAGACCATATCCATTTGCGTAAATATCGTCTTGGGCTTGGATTGAAAGGCCAGATTTGTTCTGAAGGTGTTTTGTTTTTGAACGTCATGGTCTTGGTTTGTTGCCAGGTCTTCTGTATTTATTTCAAAGGATACATTGGATATCTCTGTATGTTTTGGATTTTGGCGCGCAAAGTTTGTGATTGTTTGCGTTTCAGGCTGGTATCTTGTTACATTTTCCAACACTGCTATGCCATCATGAACTCTGTATGTGTAACTCGTTTTTGACCTTCGTCTGCTGGTAGCTGTTATATTAGTAGAGTCCACGTTGGTATGTTTTCCAGGGTCTTCGTTGGCTGCAGTGGTTGAGTGTCTATTCGTTGTTTGAATATTTTCTTGTAATATCGCAAGACTTTGTTCAGTATTAGAATTTACTGTTGTTTTAATATTCAGTGCTGCCTCGTTGGCGAGCTGTTTCTTCTCTTCTTCATTCGTAACAAATGTCCGAACGATCTTTGTTGAACTTTGTTTTGTATATGCTGGATTAGCATCTTTACTCCCACGAATTTTGAAGGCAATTCCACCTCCTTGGTCTATTTCACTGTGTGGACTTTCTGCAACTGCTGCTTCGTAACTCGAAGGAAACGTTTCTGGTTTTAGGATGGTGCCCTCCTCGCCTGTTATTTCGATCGGGTGCTGTGTCGAAGCGCTGGAACACGTGAACACCTTTCTCGTGATAATTTGTGACATTTTTTCTCAATTTGAAGTGGAAGGAAGAGTTTCCTTCGTGTTATCTAACCAAGCGGCGTCATGGGATGAATTCGGAGATATTTTCGTTGTTGTGCTGCGTAAAAAGTGAAGAATATAGCGATTGAGTGTGGGATTATTTCCCAGAGGACGTTGCGAAATCTCGTGCGGGGATTTAGAGGAATTAATTCTTGTTTGATCTGATCTGAGTTTGTTCTATGAATACTTAAATCAATTGATATATAGTGGTTTCTAGCCTGCCGGGCCAATAGGTTAATTATATTTTTAATTGATACGGAAACAATTGTGACATACTACAGTCGAATCTGTATTAAGCGGTCACCATGTATTAAGCGGTCGGTTGTCAAAGTCCCGTAATTTTGTTCCACTTAACGCCGGTATTTTTCACCTCTATTTAGCAGTCACCTTTATTGAGTGTTCGTGGTCACCCTTGACTGAGTCGTAACGACCTGTTTGTATTGTCTTCCACCTGTATTGAATGATCACTTAAAGCCGAACCTCTCATATAACATTAAGAATTCTCTTAAGTCAAATTTATTCCATGTTTATCTCCCGGAATCAATGTTAGTAACTTTCAGTTCAACTGTCGTCAACGCACTGTATATTATCTTTCTTCTTTGGACTGTTTGGAAAAATATTACGCACGAACATCAGACAAGTCATTTGCCGGTCAAGCTGCATTAAGTAGTCCACCTGTATTAAGCGGTCATCCGCCATTCCTCTCGGGTGACAACTTAATACAGGTTTGACTGTAGTATTCCCTAGCCATCTTGTTAAAGGTCCCTAGAACTGAGGCAATGTGAGGTAGAAAAACCATGAGGGAAAAGTGTAAGAAAGTTGTGACCAAAGCTTATGACCACTCATCAAGTTTTCTTTGGTAAAACTAAATCATTCGCTCCCACAAAGGGCTAACGCTCAAAACGTCAGCTGTTGGAACTCTTTACGGTGGATAAGGTAGCATTTATTGCCTCTGCTTCTATTTAGTGTTATCCATAATAAGAAAAGTGTTTCTTCGGCGTTACGCCCAGTAGTACGTGTTTAACGAGCGATTGTTCACCTTAACTTACTATTTTAGGTGATGCGTAAGATATCGTGCGTCACAACCTGATACAACTCAACTTTTAGCATAAACTGGCGATTTTAAGATAAGCGTTATTAATAATGACATTCACAGTAACGGAATACGGCAAAAACCCCTGCGATTTCCTTTTTTGTTTTTTTTCCCCTGAAACATAAATTAAACCCCCCCCCCCCCCCCAAAAAAAAAAAAAAAAAAAACATCGGAAACAACATATATTATTAATTCTAATACTTTCAAGGTAGTAAACTTGGTACAAAAAAAGCGGATGAAAGAATTTTTCATGTGTCGATTACCGTTTGCCACAAGTCTTATTCTTAAGTTCCAAGCAACTCCCTTGATATATCTACTTGTCTTCTGAAAAGGTTCAGGAATACCAAAGTCTTAATGATCGGTATATTGGATTTTGGTCCGAGACTTCGTTCCCTAGGATTATTTTTATCGAAATATCGATTCTCATTAGCCTTTACTCTAACAGTTTTATTGTCTCAAACGCCGAAAAAAAAACAGTTTGCAGTTATTTGATTTTTCTCGACTCCTTACGAAAGAACGAGATTGCCGACAATGGATTTACCTTTATGTTTTTGTTTAGTTGAGTTGACACAAGCAAACTGTTCAACTCAAGCATGCTCAATCAAAAATACTGAAACGTACACAAAAACGTTAAGCCGATTCTCTAATCTGTGGCGTTTCCAAGAGCCGAAAATATTTTATTTTCAATTAACTGTGTATTGTATTTAAATTAGACAGTCGTATTATTTGTTTCATCAGTGTAAACTCTTACGTTTTTTAATAGACAAAGAAAGGTTGGGGTTTGTTTTGCTGGAAAGTTCCGTAAGACAATAACGTTAAAAGGTGCTTGAAATTGATGATAGATATTCCTTCTCACCCTGCCACATATCCTCGACAATTTTGCAATATACATTAGGCATTCGTGTGTGGAACAATCTAGAGACACGATTGAATTCGATGGAGTGCCTGAGTTCCCCAAGCGTGAAGAAGCAAATACATGTTGGACAACCGACTGAGTTAACTAAGTTCGGAGTCTCTAGAATTTTTGTAATAAACTGATGGAGATCAAGCCGTAAACTGAACATTAATCAGGGGAAGTAAACACACAAAGATTATCAGATTTTTCCAAATACGTTCTGTGATTATCAAACTGCACTCAAATGAAGATGTAACAACTGCAGCTTTTTATGTTTTTGTAGTAGAGAACATTAATCATTTTATTTTATAGCTAGTGTTGCGATTAAGGTAGGGTCTTGTCTCCCTTCGTATGCTCCTCTAAAAGAGGTTTATTCGCCTCTCACTCCTTACGCCAACTTTATTGACATGCAGTGTTCTCTTGATCTTTAGATAAAGGAAAGTAAAATATTACCTTCTTCCTTGGAGAGGACTTGAAAATGGAACGAACGAACCGCACTGCTCAACTTGATTATAATATGTTGATTCTTGACACAAGCTGTACCTAGTAACTTTTCCAAGTCATCTGAGCGAGTCTAAGAGACTGACCGTAATATAGCAACGACCCAAAACAACAGGACGAACTGTGGACAAGGTTATTGGAGTGTGACTGATCCAAAGATAATTATGGCAACTAGAAGGTTCTGCCTCATGCGTGAAGCCGGTCTTGTTTTAACACATCCCACTTTCCTCTTTGGCCGAATTTCCACTTTCCAGCCCACAAACGATACCACTATTGTTAATTGATTCGCAACGCAAAAACTAAAAACAGTATGGACCCGTTTGCTGTCCGTTTGTTTTGTCGATTTTCTATTATTTTTGCTGATAAAAGTTTGAATTCTCCTGAACTGTTTTTAGGAATTGTCATTAAAAAATGCACTAATCACTTTCTTTGTTGAGGATAATGACATCTTCATTCGACCATGACTAACTCGGCCAATTTCCCACGGTTTCTTTGAAGTTGCTTTCTCTCAAGAAGGTTATTCCCAAGTAAAGGAAAACCGACGGAATTTGTAGCACGAACATTACCAATTTGTTAATCCTTTGCACGCACAAGCTGGAAATTTTTGATGTATTTAATCGTTTGTCAGTTAGTTTTCTAAAGACCTCCAGGTGGTAGTAAATTTGGATTTATATGACTCCAGGAAAATTTAATGTGGATCAATGATTCTGTATCTTATATAACTACCCCTTACTTTTAAATCAGTGATAAACACAGCTATACCGCTTTTTAACACCTAATTATTGAAATTTTGAATCCATTCACTCGTCTATCTTTATGGAACTTTCAAGAATTATCTGCATGCCTGGTGAGCGAAAAACAGGTGAATAAGTAAAAGAAAGTACTCTCTTTTCTCTCATATCATTGTACATTCTTATTGTATACTTTTCCCACGGTTTTACACAACATTTTGATATTGATCTTGCCTTCAAGGTCTTCGATTTTATCCCTAGCAACTGCCATCAATGAAATCAGAGACATAAGCAACTGGGGTCACTATAAAACAAAGTGGATGAACTGGAACTAATTGCTTCCGTGCAATGGGTCCCCGCCGAGTTTTTAGTGATATCATGATAATTATAACTTTCGTGACGCAGATGTCACCTTGGGAGTACAAAGACGTATTGCGAACTATCTATGCTTAGTTAACACAAGTGATATCATTTGCACTTTTGGGAGATATCGATAATTCCAGTAAATTCAAATAACGAGCACAAAGTAAATTGTTTAAAAGAACACCGGAAGACTTTCAGATGACATTTAAGTTTTCATTATCTTCGACTGACGACTTCACCGCAAATGGCATGTCACGTTTTTAGTATTGGAAGCGTCTGCTTCTTAGCAGCAAAGATATCGTCTTTTAGAAACGTAGTACTTTATTATATTAAGTTGAGGACTACGGTCGGATGTTCAGAATTCCTTTGAGTAGCCTCCAGAAAATTATTTCATGCGTGATGGTTAAAGCAGAGATCACACGCATCCACTTTTTACCGGGGAGCGGGAATAAGCCAATTTAAAGGGTACCACAACATCGTTTTGTAGTAGTGCTAAAATTTCCGGGACGTTCAAGGAGACCGCGGAGTGAACCAAACATGCTTTACTAAAACAATAAAGGATCGTTCATGCAGACCATCCAAAGGTGAATTGCATTCGTTAACTTCGTGGATTGTGTCGCTAACGTTCTAGGTTACTGCGCTAACGTCTCTTTAAAGTTTTTTTTTCTTCGAAGTCGCGACAAATGAAATGTACCGTAAATATACGTGTACTTTTGGCCGAAAATGGACTGAGATCGACTGGTTGAAGTCACAGTGATTACATGTATGGAATCAACTTTCAATTTGTATTGAAACTATTTGACTTCCCCTACGATTTTTCGGTCGATTAGAAGTCGATCAAGTTCTACCAATGAATTCACTGAACGTTTTGTACTACGTTAGCAAAACGACCTTTAAGACGTTGGCGAAACGACCTGAGACATTAGCGAACTGGTCGTTAGTGAAACCATCAGTTACCTCGAAGGTTCATTCTTACATATTTTTGTGTCGTCGAAAATTGTATCTCGCAGAAAAGAAAGGCTAGAGCGACTGAAAGTAGAAATAAAAAAACTCCGCAAATAACACTGCAATCAAGACAAGTACTCAGACTTAATTTAAATTATTTATTTCAAATGATTGACTTACAAATAAGTCAAGTCCTACAAAGAAAACACCAATGACAGTTTCTGTAATTTGTAGAATTGTTTAGCGGGCGAAAATTTAACAATATGAATCGGTCAGCTTTGATTTTCTACCTCTGTTTTCTCTGGGTGTATTGTTCGCCTGTTGTAAAGCTGAAATTTTCTCTTAAAATGATCTTTCAATTGACGACCTTGTTATATTATAGGTCTTCCTGTTTGAACCAAAATCTACCATTATTTCGAATTCTGATCTTGATATTGACTGGGCGAAAACCGGGGATTTTGAGTAAAGCTAAGTAGTGGACCCTTTGCGGGTGATACTAAAAAGGTTCGCTTAAGTATGGGGCTCTTAGCGGGTGATATGAGAAGGGTTCGTTTAAGTATGGGGCCCTCAGTGGGTCATTTAGAATCATGGGCCCTCAAAGAGTGATTTTGAAAATGTTCTAAATTTCTTCAGAGCTTATACACGTATAACTATCTACGATATCTTATCATTTTTCATTACTGATACACACGCCGACAAAGACGATAATGATTTCATAAAGGATATTAACCCTTCCCGTCAACTTCCACGAGTGACTGATATGAAACTTCTCCCCACTATTAAAAAAACATGCATTATTCAGCAAACAGGTAGAAGTTTACCAAATTCTCGTAACTAATTTACAAGAAAATGTGAAGCAGCTAGAGGGGAGAATTAACAACCAGATATTAAGAGTAAAGATTTAAAGTGATTTTTCGGTGCTAATGTTTTATCTGGTTACAAACTTATGAAAAAACCTCCACGAATTTTTTACATCTTCGACATTTCTGTAAACTTGGAGTTATGCGTAACGCAAGATGTCGACAGCCAACAACCCATCGTAAAGTTCCATTCTATAAAACTCTAACCCTTTCTTGTCGACTTGGTCATTAACAAAAGGTTAATCAAATTGACTTACAAATTTAAGTAAAAAATTAGGAACTAACTTAACACTGGAAACATATTTAACCTTTGCCGAAATTTTGCTATGATGTCAACTATTTTTTTTTTGTCGTTTTCTTTTCTTTTTTTTCAGCGGTCATACCCTGGCTTAACGATATGAAAACTGTTTTTGTTGAAAAATGACGTTTCATACATCTAATCACGTGAAAAAGATGCTTTTAATAGCACTTGGGTAAGTGTTGTATTGAATTGTCTTGGAGTACACTGAACATGTTAAAGCGAGATGTGCCTCCTTCCCCCCCCTACACCTTTTGTATCATAATATTAAGAGCTCTCAAAACGAAATTAAATCAAACGTGGATCGTTCGCCATTCGGACCAACCGAATTGTTCAAATTTCGCACAAAGTTTATCGCAATTATTATAGCTATACAATTAAACGTATAATTACTACATCATGATATGTTTCATCGATTATTGGCCAACATTCGTTGCTCAAAATGCAATGCTTTTTGGTCGTGGCTGGCGCCCAGACCCCCCTCTTGAAACGTCGGTGGGAGGATGGGAAAGATTAGCGTCATCTTGCCATATCAATAAGTCCACGTTTCCAATGCTCTTGGGTCTGGCACGCTTCTCGCTCTTCGCACGCCGAAGCTGTACTGGTCCGCGGTCGCTCTTCTCAAAGGCAGCAAACATACTTGTGTTGAGTTTCTTAGGAATTGGTTTTTCCTCTGGAGAGTACGACTATAACCAGGAAACCTTAAGATTATTTATCATAGCAGGTGTATAGTTCAACAACTGTGTCACTGGAACTCGAAGCCAAAACTATATCCAGGCATAAGCAAACATGAATCATCCAAAAAGTAGCGAAATCTTGCGAAATCCGACATCTGAACTTATTTCTCGTGAAACTAATGCTTATCTGTTCGTTTTCTTTTGGAACTGGCCCATGAGTTGCTCACAAAATGTAGTTTTGCTTGGGCGCCGTTCTACTACGTCTTCTACTGATAGCAGTGGAACGGTTCCGATGACTGGAATTTTTTTTGAATTTTTTACTTAAAAAAAGATTACTGTGTGGTTTTTGAAATATGTGATATATTCTATTTACGTGTTTGAAAATGTCACAAAGTAAACGTCTATGTATCCTATTAAAAAGCTTTCATTCGTTCCGGTCATCTTGGTTGGAAATTAGCTAGGTTGTCTGTTCATTCATAGATAGTTTACTTCTTTTGGCGAGAGGACAGATCCAAAAGTAATGTATAAAAATAATGTGTGGAAAAAGTTTATAAAACACACCTCTGTTGTTCTGTCTTCCACTTGAACTTCCTGATTGGACTCCCTCCTGAAAGAAAGCATTCGTGGTATATAAATGTAGTTCGTGAAGGTAAACATGTCCTCCAAATCATAGCAGTTTTGGTTTACTATTTTCTGTAAAAGCTGAAAGTTTCAAGCGTATTCTGCATTGGAAAAACCTGATTACGACTCAACTAAGCGATTTTTATCGGTATCTCACACAGGTATGTTACGCCAGAAGTTTCCAAATGAGCTCTTAATGGACCGTGAGTCGAGCACTAAGAATAAAATCAGTATATTACTACAAGGTTTGAAATTAAATTGTACTTACCTGTCTAAGGACGACAATTTTTCAGTGATACTAGCGGTTCCATTCATGTCTTTTTCTCGCGCCCCAGAAGACATACTTTCACCAGAAATACTGCGAAGACTCTCAATCGAGTTTGTCCTTGTCGATTCTTCGTCTGTCAGTGATCTTGAGCCTTTGATTTTAGTGGACTGTCGTCGAGAACTTGTATTTTTGCTATCACTCTCAAATTGTAAACGAAGTTCCTCTGGTAAACGACCAACACCAACACCAACACCTTTTTCTGTACTCTCTGGCTCATGTTCCATGGGTGTCGACGTTTTTCTTTCAATGGACACTTTTCGTGACCTTTCAGAATCGGAGCCGGTTATAGATTCCCTACTTTCGGTTTCCAGCGGCTGAATATGATCACTTTCTTTCTCATAGCCCCCGTCTAGTTCCGCTTGCATCCGCCTTTGTTCCTCTAATCTTAACTTAGCCAGCTCTTCCTGCTCCTGACGCATTCTCTCCTCTGCCATTCGTTTAGCACGTTGTGTTCTCTCTACTGACTCCTGCGACCTGGCATTCAAGAACTTTTCCACATCAAGTCTCTGGCCTGCGTTGATCTTTTTCTCATACTCAACATCTTCTTGCGTCTCAGCAGGACCCCCGTGGCAGGCATAAGCTTCGTTCATATCGACTGGAGAGCTTTCAACTACCTCCTGACTTTTGACACTGACCACTTCTTGGATCACTTGCGGGTCCTGCTTGCGCGGTTTTGCTATCGGAGCGACTGGTCCTTCCTGCTGGAACACAGAGAATTGTTGGTAATTCAGTTTTCCAACACTCTTGGGTTTATCACTCTCTGTTTCACTGTCACGGTAGTCCAAACTTTCCTCGGCAAGCAATCTTCTCCTTTCCTCCTCTTGGCGAAGCAGTTGTTTTTCGTCTCTTTCTCGCTGGAGACGCATTTTCCGTTGGACTGTTTCGGAATCATCCATTCCGAGAATGATAACATTGTCATCGTCATAATTCTTTCTATTAATCTTTCCATTACTTTCATACTCTTTTATTTCTGCAGGTGCAGATTGAACTTCTTCCCTCTTTTTAACCATAATTGAACCTTCTTTTTGGGTTTTTCCGGGTCCACTGTTCCCTCCCACAGCATCCTGTTCAAAAACACTAAACTTGTCGGCGCTAAGCTTGCTTCTTCTTTTTTCCAAAGTGCCAACAACTTCTGGAGTGGAATCGTCGTCCTGAAACCGGAATATTTCATTACGTTCTTCTCTTAGCCTTTGCTCTTCTAATTCTTTGGCTCGCCGCTCATTTTCTTCCGCTTGCTTTCGTTGCTGTAAAATGTACCACTCCTTGTCCAGTTTTCCCACACTCTTTCGTTTTTCTTCGTATTCTGCGTCTTCGGATAGCAAAGATCCTCCATCTTCCTCATAAGGACTGCTTTCAATCAAATCAACAGATGCCACTTGAACAGTTTCTACAACACCTTCTGGTACCTTGGGTTCTTTTGTTACCTTCTGGTCGTACCGCGCTTTTGACTTCAGTTTTGGTTCTTCCGTAGGACTTTGCTGGAATTGCAAGAACTTATTCGCATCAAGACGCCCCACGCTGTATATATCCTTCTCAGAACGAGTCACAGGAACATCATCAAAAATTCCGGTCTGAAATTTCTTTTTAGCTGCTTCCTTTTGCCTCCGCATTTCCTCCATGCGCATCTGCTCCTCTTCTTCTTCTCTTCGTAACCGTTCTTCCTCCTCCTTTCTAACTCGTTCAGCCTCTTCACGCCGACGCCTGTTTTCTTCCTCTTTACGAGCTTTCGCTTCTTCTTCCTGCCTTCTGATTTCCTCTTCTTTGCGAATCCTCTCTTCTTCTCTAGCACGGGCTTCAGCCTCTAGCCTTCTTCTGCGCTCTTCCTCTTTTTTAAGTAATTCGCGTTCCTCGCGTTCTATTCGACGTCGCTCCTCTTCTTGAAGCCTTTTACGCTCCTCTTCTTCTTGCTTGCGGAGAAAATGGAACTGGTCATGACTTAACCTCTTAACAAGTTTGGATTTAACTTTTACCTCGTACTCATCGTGTTCGTTTCCTTCACGGAAACCCAAGTCAGGTTGACACTCCACAACTTTCTCATCAATTACTTGAACAAGCTCTTCTTCCCGCACAAAAGAATCCTGCAAGGCCTGTTTAGGTACTTTAATAGTCTTTGGTTCTGATTTCGTTTGCAAAACAGGTGTCTCGTTTCTGGTTTGCTTTTGCAAGAAAGGACTGTTGTCAAGGACGAGCTTGTTCACTTGCCCTTTTTTCACTTTGAGATCGTATTCATCCTCGACAAATTCGTCATCTTTTTCCAGAGCATCTTCATGATCGCTGTCATCCTTGGACGTGGTTTCCGTCACCAACACGTGCTGAGTTTTTACGATTTCCTGTTTGGGTCTTCTATCACTTGCGGGTTCTTCTTTTGACTCGTTCATAAACTGAACAAGCAAATTAGGATTGATTCTTCGAATCTCCTTGGTTCGAACTTTTGCTTCGAATTCATCATCGATTGAATCTTCATCCTCCTGTTCATTGGATTCAAGCGCTTCCCGTTCTCGTCTCCTTTGCTCTTCTAATCTGGCCCTTTCAATTTCCTCCAGCTCTTGTTGTCTTCGTTTTTCTTCCATTTTGCGCCATTCAGGAACACCATCATCTTCACTTTCCTCTTCGTAACTCTCCAAAGTTGCGCCAGCAACGTTGTCGACTTCAGGCTAATGACAAAAAAAAAAAACAACGAATCACGTCTAAGAAAATGTGCAAAACTTGTTCACTGACACCAACTCGACTTCTATTCCGTACGGAATATTTTTGCACTCATATTTCATAGTAGTGGTCCATACCACGGTGGTTTAATGTTAGTCTACTTTACAGCTGTTGCAATGATTTTTCAAGCAATACTTAAATTTATTGATACCAGATAAGGGAGTTGCGTCATCATTGAAACAATTCCCACGAAGGACCATAGCATTTTGAACTTAAATTATAAACCACCAGTAGGTGTTAGGTGATAGGGCGTTACATGGGTGCCGCTGTTTGGTCTTTAGTGTGAAACAGAAAACAACGAACAAACAAAACGTGACTATTTTCAATGGTGCAATTGCGGAACAGCAATATTACACTGTCTTGTGTTTGTTATTAGCAAGCCGGATCACTCCACAGGTGTACATTTTTTTAAACTAAAGAACAGTGTGATTTCGATTGCAATACGTAATCTAAAGGCCGCCTTACGAATTTAGTGTATGGTTCGCGTTGATAAGTCGCTTGTCAAAAATTTGTCAATTACTTGGTACTAACAAAACACGTATGATCGCGTTCATGTGGATCGCTAAGGACAGCGGCATGCTTGAATACCTCATCTGCCTCCTCTTCCCAGTCTCTTCTTGGCGCAGACTCGACAGTCGAGTGTTCAACTTTCTCTACGTAGATCTCGTCTTTGATAATTCGAGAGCTACGGGGCTCATCCCGACGGTAGTCAGGAGCAATCTCCGTTTCCTTCGATTGAAGAAAAGGACTGTTAACTAGCTTCAACTTTCTTACTTGTCCGCTCCGTACTTTCTCTTCGTACTCATCTTCCACCTCTCTTTCTTGGTCTCCTGCATAGCCGTCTTCGGAGGGGTTGTCGACAACGGGTGTAGATTCTGACAACGAGACACTGGATACATCTATTTGTTGCTGTTTGGGTTTCGACGATTTCAGGGGTCTCTCTGGTTCTTTGTCTGCCTCTTTCATGAACTGAAACAACAGATTTGGATTAATCTTTCTGACTTCCTTTGTGCGTACTTTGGTTTCAAACTCATCGTCACTTGAATCAGGTTGCTTTTGTGACTCCTCTTCCATGGCCTCTTGTTCCCGTCGTCTTTTTTCCTCTTCTTTCGCTCTTTCGATTTCCTCTCGTTCTTGTTGTCTTCGTTGCTCTTCTACCTTTCTCCAACCGGGAACGTCATCGTCGTCATCACTTTCCTCCTCATACGTGTAGGTGTAAAGCGAAGATGAGAGAGGCTACAAGTGATTAATACAGTTTAGCCGCTAAATGAGGTTTAGCTATCGAACTGAGAGGAGGGCATTTGGTTTTTTTGTTTTCAATATTGGTAATTTTCGAAATCGGTTTTTCGATCTTTTCTATTCAAAGTGGCTTCTTTTGTGGCTTTGACATCCGCAGCGGTTTCCGTGGTTTTTTTTTTTTTCTTAAATCTAAATGGTTTTTTGATCGTTTTTAAAATAGTCCAAACTATAAAGTTAGATTAAAATCTTCGAACCTTTGGGTTGAGTTATTTCGATTTGGTATTTGAATTTTATTGGATATTTTGTCCGGTATTTGGAGTCAAAGTGATAGCTCTCAATGCCCTCCTCTCCAAGAGCTATGGTTGTCTTCTTTCTCAAGAGAAATTAAGCCAGGTATACAACAACGCAATAAGCAGCAGCAGCGCATGCGTAAGCTTAAGTTACTTTTAACAGACTGGTGTTTAAAATAAACAAAAAGCTCACATTTAAAAACAAAACCAGTAAACTGTGTGTTAGAAAGCTCGTTTATTAGTTGCAGTCGTCTAAGTAATTCGTTGCCATTACGAAGAAAACAAAAGAATATATTTCCTAAATGCGTTAAAAGCAGTAAGAACAATTTGTAGTCAGTTTTGCATTTGTTTATTAATGTGATTTAGCCAGTGCTGTTGCGCAGATTTTAAGCTAATAGTTGTGTTGTATGCAGCATCTTGCGCTTTTATTAATTAATATTTTACTCTCATAAACATACTATTCACCTTCACCAGTACATCTCGCCAAAAGGTTAATGATTGCAGCATTAGCAAGACTCTCATGACGAGTTTAAATGCATTACTGTTAAATTACCCTCTCGAATCCTCACTCTCTAATAACTTCGATCTGTTTGGGATATTGTGTGAAAAAGTGTCTCTCGATACCAGTTCGCCCCCTTTGCGAGTTCGCCCCCTGCAGTGAAACAAGTTCGCCCCCAACTTTACCAGTGCGTTAAAAAAATCTTTCAACTCGTTTTCCTACAGCAGAACATCCTAAGGCGATTGAATTCTAAGGTGTAGAAAAATAATCACAAGATAACATTGAAACCTTACCTCTGTCTCTGTTTTTACTTCAAGAACCGGACTGCAAAGAAAAAAAAATCTTAAATTGAATGAGCTGTTTTTCTCTTTGAAAAAAATTTGAAAATTAAATGAAGTATGGTCGATAGATTTAAAACTCAGAGATCATATCATCATCATGAGACACAATTGAATTCTGAACAGATGATGATCGGCGTGAAGGATTGATTGCATGAAAATATCTCTAAAATATTTCCATTTCTGGGATGAAAAGTGCAGCAATCGATGTCTTTCCGATTTCATGGATTAGTTGCAAGTGTGACGTAAAGGATTTCTTTGGGTAGTGACAAGGACAATTTGTCCAACAATCGTGAGATAGTTTAGTTGGCGATCACATCTGTTAGTCTTGCTTAATGTTTAATTCATTAGTGATACTGTAAAGAGAAATTAAGTGCTAGACACTTTCTAGGGTAGAGGGGTTAACATGCAACGTCTTCTTGAAAAATCAATACATTATTTAGCAAGTAGGAAATGAGCACAAAGACACCCAACAGCTACAAGGGGAATCATAAGTTGGTAGCAAGTTTCCTTAACCCTTTAACTCCCATGAGTGACCAAGATATAATTTCTCCCTACAATATCAATACAATATCAAGCAGAAAGTGATGAGAATAAAGAAAAACATTAACTAGGGGATTATTAGTCGATCCAATAACAAATTCTCCAAACTAACATCACAAGAACTATATGGCAGACAGTAAGGAGAATTACTAATAAGATCTTGGAGGTTAAAGGGTTAACTGATCAACAAGAAAACGTAACACAGTTGAAAAGGAGAAATACGAAACACGTGTTTGAAGTGAACCCTTCACACCCTAAAATCAGTTTGCATATTCTCTATGCTTTTCTGTATACATTTCCCAAGGTGCTGATGAGGAGAATTTAGTTGGTGATCATTCCTATATTCTTGTGGCCTTAATATGCTATTTGGGGGTGCTGTTGTAAGGAGAAACTTTATCCAAGTCATTCTAAGGGGTTCAAGTGTCCGCTGATATTCCTTGTAAAACTACTTCGTACCAGAAAATAACCAAACCAAACGTGACGGTAAGCAAATGTAATGAAGTGATTTTGCGCCAAGAGTTGTTCCCAAAACCTTAAATAATTTACCTGATGTCCTCCATTTCTGGCTCAGTTTCCTGAACTTTCACTTCAGCCGGAGCGGGAATCTCTTCTTCATTGTTCACAAGTGGCTTTTTATACTGCGAGGGTTGGGATGCTCCTTGTGTCTTCTTTGGTGCCGGTCTGTCTGCTGCATTCGCAGGTGCTTGTTGAAACCCAGCAAATAGAGAAAGATTTAGCTTTTTGGGTTGGAAATTTCCCGCTTGCTCCCACTGTTTCTCCTCCTCTGTGAGTTGTGAGTTGAGAACTTCAACGGTATCCACTCGAGGAACCCTCTCTTCTTCATTATCACTTTCGCTGTCACTTCCTCCATTACTCTCGCTTTCGCTTTCGCTCTCGCTGCTGCTTTTTAAATCATGGCTTTCCGTCTTGACCTTCCTTGGGACTGGCTAAGGAGTGAAACAAAGTGGAAATTTTTAGAGCGTATTTTCACGAGAAGCAGACTTGCGTTATATGTCAGAAGGAGATATTTTAGCAGTCTTGCTACACGCATCCTGTCCTCTGCGCGTCTCGTTTCTCACGTGAGTCCTTTTTCGCGCGTCTTCCGTCAGCCTGCTCTTCTCTAGTCTCGATTCACTGTGGGAAATGCAGTGAAATTGATATTCAAAGCTCTAACATAAAATGTAAAAACTAATACTAAACAAGACAAAGTTGTCGCTTCTAATTGTTTAAACGGTACATATCGCGTAGAATCTAACTTCTTGGTCTAAAAAATCAAAATAGACTTTTAATTGCCTTTCCTTATTTCATTGTCTCATTTAAACATATACCCCATTCACACCAAAGCTTAAACATTTTTTGAAGGCGTTTTGTGTAATACGATTGAGATTTTTTTCTTCATAGAAGCTACTTGAACCGATGTTTGTCGATTTCAAATGCAGCACATTGAATATACAAGTAAGGGACTACTTGAATCCCATGGAAAATTCGGTTCCTCGTTTCTCTGTTTCTTGTTTTCATTCAGTTAAATCCGGTTTAACTAAACACTTTTTTGCCAGTGTGAATGAGGTATTAGTACGGTTAAGTACGGTTCAGTCCAGTCCAGTCCAGTCCATTCCATTCCAGAGTATACGTTACTTAACTTGTACGTAAACGTTCCTTATTCCTGCACTTTACCGAAAGGTTCAAACAGGCTAAGGAAATGGAACAGTTACACAACGATACTACTGCTTTATGAGATAAAATTGTATCATTTAAAGAATCTTAAACAAATATTCAAGCTACCTCGGGTGGACTTGTTCTGTCTTGACCGTTGCTGAAAAAGGGAAATAACAGGAAATGTTTGTAAACATTTGGAAAAGAAAATTATTTAAAAGAAATTTCAATCTCGACGGAAGAGGCAAAGTATGAGTTGTTTCAAGAGTCTTGTTATATTCTCCAGTTGCTTTTAATTTAACCCTTTAACTCCCGTGAGTGACCAAGACAGAATTTCTCCTTACAATATCAATACAATATCAACCAGATAAGTGATGAGAATAAAGAAAACTATTAACTGGAGATTATTAGTTGGTCCAATACTCAATTCTCTGAACCAACATTATAAGAATTGCATGGTTGACAATAAGGAGAATTACAAATTTAATGTGGAAGTTAAAAGGTTAACATGAATTTGGTCTTTGATTTTAGTAAAAAGAATGCGTGACATACCGCGTGACAGGTGGCGTGACGATCTACCGAGTTAAATGCTAATTCAAAACTACACATCATCATGTCACAAATCTCCTTGAAATAATTACCACTGTAGTTTGCTTAAAAATACTAAATCAGTATTTATGATAACGATGAATGAGGTGAACATGTAAATAAAAGCAATGTGTTTGAATTAGTCATCCATACCACAAACAACATATTTAAAACATTTACAAAATTCTACAAAGAATATCAAATATAACATTTCGTTAATACTTGACAGGAATTTTTCATCAGTATTTTCAGGCCCTTTAGACCCACGCACAGCCATTAAAACAATCAAGAGTCAAACGTATGCGACCGCAAGTCTACTTTGTCGGTGAAAAAGTCATTCAAAAAACACAATTTAGCAATAATTGATTTTAACGCAGCTGTGAAACTCAAAACCACAAGTCGATTCAGGAATTCAGGTTTTAAATCCTTTAACCAACACTACGTGCCGTTTGGATTAAGCGAGAGCTCTCCCTCGAGTATTGGCCATGAATATTGCGGTACAAATGTAAAAAAAAATATAGCGTTTTATGCATTACTTTAACGTTAAAAGAAAAATCCAGGAATTTTGATAATCTAACTGCAATGGAGGTCAGGCAAGTGGAACGGTCCTTGAACGTGATTAAGATACGTGCTCGTCTGCTTGTTTCGACTGCAGTCGGTTGTATTTTCAGTGCAACGGTCGGCAAAATTGCCAAAGATTGGTAGAGAGACTATTAAAATTTTCTCACCTGAATGTTCCATCTTCAAGTTGATTACTCTGCCGGTCAATTTTTAACTTCGTTGGCACAAGCGCCGCTTGGTCATCTTCTGTCTCCCCCTTCATCCAGTCGTATCGACTCTTACGAGGCTTTGGTGTCGGTTTTTCGTCGACAGAGGCCGCTTCAGACAAGCTGTGGAACACAGTTTTTTGTAGCCGGCCTGGCTGGAATTGTCCAGCGCTCTCCCATCGTTGTTCCTCCGCAGTCAAATTTGGGTTGATGTCCGTGTCCGCAGATGGTCGTGTTGTGGTGATAACTTCGACCTCCATGTCTCCTTCGTCGTCTTTCTCTTTCAACGGATCAAACTACTCGCCAAATTAAATTGAAACCATCTTAACTGTTAACTCTGGTATAATTTAGCTCGCCGCTACTCCCAAGCTTGAGAAACCTTGCTATTTTTTATCAAACGGACCTGTACAGACATGCGTGTTATGCAAATATCTCAAGGGGCACTTAAGAAATCCAAGTGGGAATAACTAAGGTGAGATCAGTTATACGTGGGACGAGCACTGCTAAAATTTCAACCTGTCTTAACGCACTGCATAATCTCTCTCTTAATTCATCTAAACTTGTCATTTATCTTGACAGACAATAGAGAGACTGCTAATGAAGTCTTTAGACCGTGAAACTGTCAGAGATGAGATCAAATAACTATTTCTCGTTTATTTTTTTAGATTTTCTTACAAACAAATGAAAATAAACTTGGGGAGTATTTGTATGAATGTGAAAAAATCACTCAAAGTATACCTGGTAGTCATTCGGCAAAACAAAAACAAAAGATCGGGTCAAACAGATTTAGCGTACCTCAGTAATGGTAAACCTTATTCTTAAAAAAAAGACTATATCTAGGTCAATTTGGTGGAAAATTCGAACAGAGACTTTTATACCACACATAAACAGATCGTTATCGTTACCTTTCACGTGACGTTCGATATGTAGCTAAGTATTCTCGAAATTATAAGTACTATCAAAAGTAAACCTTTCCCAACTTTGAATAATAATTTGTATGAATAATAGCGCTGATGGAGTCTCTGGGGAAAACTGGACTTCTACCAGAATTCGGGTCTGATATCATTACAAACCGTTTTGTAAAGCTCCCACAGTCAGCACTAGAAATATATTGATATTATTTTTTTGTCTTTGAAATATTGGCAACAAAGTTGGATTTTTTTGTTGTTTCGATTATCGAACATTTTGTTCTGTAAAACACCTGTATAGTCGGAACACATCAGCCTCTTTGGTTGATACAAGGTGTGAAATTCAAATTCTGTTGCTGCGAGTCAATCTTTTGTGTAAAGAGAGAAATCGAATTTTGATAAGTACATGGACCTTCCTTAGTTTTCGCTGTCAAAATCCCACCTGTGTAATTTGAACAAAATTATCGACGTTGTATTTTCATGAGCTGTTGATCTGTCTAGTGTTTTATTCTACTTTGACTCGTATAATCAACGCACTACAAGTTTCCAGTAACAATCAACTGCATTAATCAACGCAACATTACTGTGTGTTCCGAACCGTTTGATAATGATCGAGAAGACTGATAGATAGATAATCGACGACTAGTAGCATTCTTACCTCCTTGAATCTTTGTTTATTTTAAACAAGTTGAGGCAAATCTAAGCTAAGTTTAAGATCCAAAATTGGCCTAATCCCTCAGACAAGTTTCTCTGCAAACCGCTGCAATTTTTCTACCCCTCAGTTCAACTTTGTGACGTTCATCAATCAAAAAATTTACTTGTACTCACCGACACAGCTCTTTTCTCGAGAGTCACGACTTTGTTCCTCTCTTCAGGCATTTCTTCATCTTCGTATTCTTCAAAAGACATCACATTGGTGTGGGGCTCAGAAAATGACTCCCACATATCCACCAACGAACGCCTCTTTTCCTTTATGGATACATCATCGTGCTTTCCTTCGTGGATCTCTTCTCCTCTCCAGGGCTTCACGTCGTTTTCGTAGAGTTTCTTCACTTTGAGCTCTTTCGCCGCTCGCCGTTGGTTTTCCTCGATTCTTCGCTTCCTTTCTTCGTATTCTCTCTCGCGACGTCTTCGGTCTTCTTCGGCGGAATTGCTTGTGCGACCTCTGTTGTCCCATGTCGAGATGGGCTCGATGGGTGCTGATGACAGACCCGATGCCTGGTTAAGAGAGATTACCGACATGAGAAACACTTCAATAAGGAGTCGTGAACACCACAGATTTGAACGATTTACGGTTACGATACTTATTCGCCTAATGGTTATGTAGATTAGATAATACCAGCCGAGGGATTAAACAAGCATCAAATTATGTTATTGTTTTAAACTAACCATCGTTAATTGAAATTGTCTTTTATTGGACAAAACTTAACCCTCCAAATGCAAAGTGTAAATTAAGAATAGCCGTTGTTAATGTGACAACAAGCTCGGTCCCGCACCAAACTCACCGCCAAAGTTCCTAATTCCCTCAGTACCGCTAGTAGTCATTAAGTAGGGTTTTCTCCTGGTTTCTTAAAATTGGAATGTTCGAATTTTCATCCCTTAAAGTCCCTAATGTTTATCACCTTCGTCCCTTTGGTTTTTACTTTAAATCGAAGTTGTGCGTCAGCGAAAGCTGGATCAGCATTGGTAAAGTTCGCTAAAAGGCTGTCCTCATAATGTCCTATCATCAAAAGAAATGTGTTTTTTTTCTACTTGTATGTTTTGGTATATATATGTTTCCTGTATCTTTTCTATTCAATTAGCTTTGATTGGTGGGATCCATTTTAACTTTCTGGACTCCACCCACCCCCTTCCCATTCTCCCCAACAGTTTTAAAAGGAATAAAACCATTGACATTTCGAGATGAACAGGGATAAAGGGGGTAAGTTTCTAAAGAAACTGTGGTGCTGCTTCGGTGGGAGAGTATAACAGGGTACCCTGAACAGGTATAGGGCGAAAAAATTAAATATTTTCTAATGCCTTATGGATCTGTTACCTCCGAAAGTTACTCACCTCTTCAAGGTCTAGAAGATTTTTAGAGTTGGGCACGGTCTCAACATCTCCTTTTTTAACCACATTGATAGGGGCTTCCATGTCAACCAGCTTCGACGGTCTGGAAAACAGTTCTCCTTCAGTGCTGTCAGCCCTCTTCGTTAACTCTGTTTGGGCAACTGGAGCTGGATCCCCCTCACTACCGTAGGTAGGTCCATCGGTGGAGTCGTCCCAGCTCATGAGGTCAACTGAGGCCTCAACCTTTTTCACCTGAGTCATGACAATGTCTTCTTCTACTGGTCTTTCTGGTTTCTCGACCTTTTTCAATTGAATCTTGTAACTTTCTTTCTTCGTTTCTATTTCGCGTTCTTCGCTTTTGACATCTTTTTTTGGTACTTTTGCGGCATCTGTCCCCGTTGAATCCTCTTCGCTGCCAGGAGACTTTTTAAAAGTCATCTCCTCGGCTGTTAAGCGCCGTTTGTTTCGTTCACTGCGACTTCTCTGCTTCTTAGTACCATCATCAACCAGACTCTTTGAGTCTTCACCGGGACTGACAACAGAGGAGTCCTTTCCTTCTTCCGACGGTCTTCGACCCAAGGTGTCTTTCGATTCTGTCGATGGCCCTCTGAGAAGCAGTCGTTCTCTCCTCTTTTCCATTTCTCTGATCTTCTCCTCTAGAGAGTCGTCGGATGTTGTCCTCGTCGTTCTCTGTTTAGAAGAGTCACTCCCCTTTTTTCCAACTGATTCTTGCTCGAATCTCTTCCGACCCTCTTCAAACTTGGTTTTCATTATGTCACCAGCTTTTTTTAGGTCCTCTTCACCTCTAGTGTCGCCTTCACTACTTTTCCTCTTCGATTTATCGTCACCGTTCAATACAATAGTTTGTTCAGTACTAAAGGATTTTACTGGCTCCATTGACACTGTGATGTCCTCTGATGCTTTGTCAGGATTAGAGGAGGTATCTTTCTTCTCTGAGGTTTCCTTTGCATTCTCGTCTGAGCGGAGACGAAAACGATATTCCACCCTCTCTGTTCTGGTCTCAACCAAGGTATTTTCTTTATCGTCATCTGCTGTTATTTTTCTGTAACAACCCGTTTCTGGATCGTACTCCATCGTTTTGCGCCTCTGGCGTCTTGCGTCTAGCTCCTGCTCACTAATTACACCTGCCATCTCTTCGGATTCCCCTTTATCTGTAATTTCCCTCAAAGGTGCAGTTTCCTTGACAGTGGAAGGAATAATAACTTCAGTCCGGTATGTTGTTACTTTCTCAAGGCTTGGTGATATGGAACCCTGCTTCAGCCTTTGTGCGTCCAATAGCTTCTCTTCGCGAAGGAGTCTTTCTGCTTCTTGCCGTATGTACTCTCGTTTCTCTTTTTCTTCCTGAATTCGATCTTCGGCTTGTCGTCGTAACTCTTCTTCTCGCTGTTGCTCCTCTTTGAGCTGAAATGTTGCTTGCTTTTTGAACTCCTCAGCTTTGGCTTGTTCCTCGAGTAGCCTTTGTTCGGCCTCCCGTCGGATCTCTGCTTGACGCTGTCGATACTTTTCGAACCTGTCTTCGGCTTCTCGTCGGATTCTTTCCTCGCGATCCTGAATTTCTTTTATCTTATGTTCGGCCTCTTGTCGTATCTCCTCTTCACGTCTGACCTGGTAGTGGTTCACACGCTCCTCTGAAATGAAAAAAACAAAAACAAATAAACACAGGTAAGAACAAGACTGCAAACTTCTTGAGTTGGACTTGTATGCTTGCCTGTTTTATTTTATTAAAATCACTATAAACTCGTTTGAACTCACTAAAATACTTCTCGATTCTTCATTACTAAGCTTTGTAAACAGTTGTTTAAAAGTTGTTAAATATGTGCCAAATAATAGAGCCACAGGGCACGCAAAAATAGTGAAATATTTGCTGTTCCCTCACATGCTACTTTCACGATGAAAATCTCTCGTAGACGCTGGTGATGGAATACAGACTGTGTAGTCTGATCGTTCAAGTGAGTGTTGATTGTAGTGACTGACGTTTCGAAAAACTGAGCGGAAGTCATCATCAGAGTCAAGTGTGTGTTTTTTCTGGACTTACTGACACCTTCAATGAAGTCTCTTCTAAGAGTCCTTGATTCCTGTGGTTATGCTCTGTTCACGCGTCTATGTTTACCAACAAATTATTTTCACGTTGAAAACTTCGCCCATTAACTCTCGATAAAAATAATTATGATTTGTCACCAACATGATGAATTCATACTACTTAGCATTGTGAACGCCCAAAATAAACCAAATGAATTATATATTACGTGTTTTGACCCGTAACGAAATAGTATGGTAAGTGCTTATAGCGTTTTGGAGACAAAAATCCTAAAATTTGACATGGTTGTCAGTCACATCCTTGAATAAATTTCAAACCTTCAAAATTAATTTAAAGAAAACGTCCCTATTGGCTACTAAATTTTGAGGGAGCCATGCAGTAAGTTTCTAGCATGAATAAGCGTCGATGAAGTTTTAAAACATTCACTGAGACCTCTATTTCGCTCATAACTTGTCGCACGTATTTCCTTCCCCAGTATTCAAATCTGGTTCGAGGTTCGTTTACTCGCACAAAACAGTTCAGTGTTCCGTTATAGATAAGTCTTCAAACGAGGTTATTTTTGAAAAATCTATTGCTTTTGCAGCTGTTAAGCTCTTGTACAGCTTTTAACTAGCTAAAAAGATGAATACGCTCTGCTTGCAAAAGAATACCTGTTAATATTCCGGCTGAGATAAAGATACACTAGATGTACGTCTTCGTTTCGGAAAGCTCTCAGCTAGACTTGAGAGGGAGCAAGACCAAACTTTATGTGAATTATTAAACAATGTTCAAGAAAAGCTTGTTTTCTCTTAAATTTTTCGATACATGACCTAGCAGCTTAAGCGTGTTAGGCTTTCTTACCTTCAAGACCTAACTTCTGATGTTTTAGGAAAATCTTGATTGCTGAATCTCGAAACCATTTCCAAAATTAGAAAGAGTTATCAGGACAAGACTGCACTGAGTAAGTCTTTAATTACACCAAAACATTTTAACAGCTGCCTGACTAAGAATCAATTCTGAAGCGACACTAAATCGGACGAATACGAAAACTTGAAAAGATAATAGAAGCCAAAACATTATTGTATCGCGCAGCACGGGAAGGAAAATACCGCAAGTTATTTGCATTTCGCAAGATAAAAGTCGATATCGTCCATAATTGTGCAACAGTGGTCCATGATACTAATGGGTAGTATAATTTAACGACTGAATAATTCATAATTCTCTAAAAATCCATCAGGAAAAGCTGTAAGTTGGGCTGCAAGACAATATCAATCTTAGGATAAAACGAGAATACATCGTTTGAAGAAACTGAAGCAAACTGTTTCTCAAAAATGTATTGACTTTGAATTCCTTGTGTCTATTCCAAAACTGAAAACAATGAGCCTTAATTGAAGAATCTTTTGCAGAAATTACCCCGTCATGATGCTAAAACTAAAATTTTGCATTTAAGTCCATCCTTAACAAATGTTTTAGACTAGCAATTGCACTTGTAACTGAAACAGTGTAAGAAAATCAAGTAATATTCCAATGATACATGCATGACTGAAGTACACCCAACATTCAATAAAGAAAGAAAATACGTTGATAAAGAAAAATAAAGAACTTACAGAGCTACTTAGATAATTTGTAATGAGGGATTACAAAAACAACAGGTAAGTTGCGTCCCGAAGTTCAAAAGTAATTTTTGACCTTGAAGGTTGTTAAAAAAATTACCATAACAGAGAAGTTTCAAGCGAAGTCGTAGCTTGATAGCTTGGTTTGTTAATTTACTCTTTCTTGGTAAAGTAAGTTAATTGAATAAGAAAGGAAACTCACCTCACGAGCCCTATCAGTTAATCAAATTATCAACCTCGAAAAAGAAAGTTTCAGAACGTATACCTCAAGAAATATTCTTTCCATTCAGTTACCGTGTGCGTATTTTGGTATCATTTTGATAGTTTCGCTTTTGAATTGTCTCGCCAGAATGAAGGCATAGAAAAATTGTTCGAAAATAGTATACATATTAATTGTGTTCAACTCACTTCTTAGCTATGGAAGAATTTTTAATCTTGGACAAAGTTTGTTTAAGAAATAAGAAAAATTCGTCAATTATCAGATTTATCTACCAAACAGATTTCGGCGTCCCGATTCACCCTTTCAAAGTTGGAAATTACTTAAAAAAAACATTATGTCACAATGGTGAAATGTTGACCGATTCAATTTTCCATCCCCGGTGATTCAGGTTGTAGCTACGAGATTAATCTCCCCCTGAAGGCCTTAAGGAATTCTCTTTGAGGTTATCTTTAGTCTTTCCAGAGATTAATGTAACTTGAGCCTGGTGTGTGGCTTCCCTGAATGTTATCATCAGGAATAGATATACACCACATTTCTCAAAGCTAAGATCTCAAGAAATTTATGATAAAGTAATTTACAACTGAGAAAGCAAAGCAACCCAGGGTGGCTTTGGCTTATTTTACTTTGCTCTTTAATCGGTCAAGAAAACTCGTGTCACTCTCTCAACCAATCAGAAAACAATCGTGACTCGTACACCGCTGTTTTTTCCGTGCTTAGGCAGTCAATATTTTCCACTTTAAGTTCTAGCTTACTCTTGAACCAATTATACCCTGGCATCAGCGTGCATCAGTATGCATACTCTCCATACTGCTCTCTGTACAGATGCTGACAAGAAAAGTTTGTTTAATAATCAAGAGCTTCTTTAGTTTGTGATCATCTCCTTTATTCTTGTGACTTTGATGTTTCATTCAGGGGTGAATTGCAATTGCAAGGAAAAAATTAAATGCTCGTCACTCCAAGGACTTAAAGGGTTGAGACAATTTCCCATTGTAATGAATGGTCGTTTAGTTTATTTAGGTCTTTGTTTTACGACACTCAATGGAAGAGCTCTTTTAAATGGAGAGCATTGGCATTTGAACGTTACTGACTGATAGAAGGAAAAGAACAATCTCGAGCTATTTAAGGGTGTCTGCTGGTGCAAGCGTCTTTGCATATAGGGTAGCCATAGCTCGTTCTTGCGGCATTTCTTTGATAAGGGATGGAACCCGCCTCTGCAAATCTAGGTAAACAGTTATTTTAAGTGCACACAATTTACGTTTAATTAAATTCACATACCCAATTTCCCATCAGGAAATATGCAAATTATGCAATGTTCGAGTTCTCTATATTTCATGTGATACAGAGTTAAAACATTATCTGCTTATGCACAAAGTTAAACGGACACAAATATGTAAAAACATATCAATTTGGAGAGGTTAAAAATACAAAATGTACCTCACATTGTCTTCCTGAGGTCGTATTAATGCTGATATGTTTCACAAAGAGTAAATAAAAACATCTTAGTTGTTGCATTTAATACCATGTCTTGTCTGTTACTTTAGAAGACAGTGCTTAAAAGGTTCTTTATAAGTTTGTTTAAAAAGTAAATTATAAGTTAATGGAATAGGACGACCTGACAGACACAAATACATTTGAAAATGAATGGAAACAAATTCAAATTAACAAGAGCCTAAGCTTTTTTCCCACGAGAATAAACTCATTGATGTGTTTCAACGCTTGATTTCAGACACATTAGTTCCTTTTGTTTATATGCTTGAATAACAGATACTTTCGAAAATTAAATTACCTTTCGAAAGCTTTTCTCGGTAGACGTAAATAAATTAACTACTAAGTGATATCATGGGAACCATCATAAATAAACCTTTTTCGCAACCAGGCGGTCTGTAAATACGGTAGCGTACGGAATGGCGCTTAAGGTACTAAAATTGTGGTTAACAACATTTTTATCGACCTAGTCTCAGTGATCCAATTCAAACAAAGGTCTCCAGTAGTGATCAGACTGCCCTAGTAAACTGGTAACAAAAGTATTTCAAGCGAAAGCCCCGATGTTTCTAGATAACAATTTTGTAAATGAATAATCATATGAATCGCATACCTGTAATAATATTATATTCCCGTTTACGAACAGGAATACCCCTTCGTTCAAAACTGCTCCATTGTCGCAAAAGATGATGAAAACATGCCACACAAACAACCGCTCGACCGAGGTCGTCTAACTTTGTTTTCTTTCCCTGTAGCTCGGCTAAGACAGGGAAAAAAGGTCCTTTTGGTTGTGTTGTCGCAAATAAACGCTTCTCGAACCCATTTGTTGAGTTGTTACAGAACGTGCAAATCGTGAAACTAGGTTCTCCGTTTGTAGAAGGTGTCGAGCTGATTCTAACATGTAACTCTGTCGTCGCCATAATACTTATGATACATACACAGAATTCTTTGAGTGAGAAGCTTACCACCGAGTATAAACGTTGCTATTAATTAAAAACCGAGTTCGTAGTCGTCAAAACGATCTCATTTTACGATCATTAATCGCAGCAGTGTACCAGCCAGCCATACAATTTGTGCAAACTTTGCTGAATAATATGTGTTTACATGGAAGACCGTCGTATGTCGGTGACACATCGCTTACAAATCATATGCAAAGCCCAGCTAATTTATGCGTGCAGAGAACAGAATATAAACTATACCACAATCTTTCTTTCCGCAAACTCTAATTATATCCATTTCAATGGAAGCGATGGTTTGATGCGGAAACTGATTTCATTGGCTAAAAATAATGTTTGTTCACCGCCTTCACAATCACATAAGGGGTGGTAAATTGTCTTTAACATTGCGTGTCGTACACAAGTTCTCTCAAATTTTAAGGCTCTCGTCTCCGATTTCTCCCCGTGTTATGACATTCCTGTCCCAGTTTCTCTGACCTACTTGGAATAGAAAGAAACTTCACCCTCGTAAACTATGACGCTTACATTCTTCTCCTGAACTTGAAAATTCTCGAAATAACCATTCTGTTCTCTTTAAATTTAAAACGGTTACGCTTAGATAAAGTTAAACTCATGATAATCTCAAGAAGGAGATTTTTGATCTCTTCTTTCAACGAGGCTTTTCTCGACTTGCCGCTTCTATTATCGTTGAAAAACAATTCCAACGCTCGTCAAAAAGGAAAATTATCTGTTCCTTAAAGAGTCAAATTTTAATACTCGTTTACATTGATTTCAATGAATTTAAAAGCGACAATTGAATCTATTTTTAATTTAAGGGTGCCCTTAACAATTAAAGATTTACTTCAAGCCGAGAAGTGATGAAATCAAAATGTTTCGTGCTGATGAAGGATTCATGCTGATACCGTTTAAATCTGTGCTAAATTTGTATTAAGTGGGCGCTTTAACGGGATTTCGACACTTCGGAAAAAAAAAGCCGCTCTTAAGTGTACATCTAAGCGTCAACGCGGTGCAATACATTTTGCTTATGCCCGTTCTTAGTACTATTTTCTAAATAAAGTATTCAAAAACATAACTGAAAACAAAATTGATATGACAGTTGCGCTTTAAAACTCACTTTGAACTTTATAGTCTCTCACTGTTTCAATTTCTTTTCTCTTCCTCGTTTTCTCAGTGACTACACTGTACAAATAAGCTCGAACACAAAATATATTAACGTTCACAGCTCGAACACCTTTCCGAAGGCCCTCTCTGAGCCCCTTTCTTAAAAATAGGCCCCATTAAATTTGAAGAGGGGGAGCCATTGAGCCCTTTTAGGTCAATTTTAAGAATGAACCTTGTATAAAGACCGACGTAGTCTTTCATTTCCAAGTAGTATTTTAATAATATCGGTCAATTTAAAAAAGGAGCTCATTGAAAATACCCGGCGGTACATTTATGCTAATTATAATTCGGAAAGTTAAACTGGTAGAAAACGGTTTACATTCAAGAAAATACAGATAATGATTATCGATCAAAGTACATCAATTTTACGCCAACTGATAAATCAACTAAACAACTACATTCCAACATTGGCCATACACTCTGAAATGAATAAAGGGGATGAGTTTCTAAAGAAACAGTAGTGCTGCGTCGGTGGGAGAGTATAACAGCTGAGTTTATAACGTAAATTGGCCACCGTAAAGAGCTTCAAAGCTTTGAAACTCTTTACGGTGGCCGATTAACGACGTTATCAAATCAGTTGATGGTATTAAATTACCCTCGTATACTCTACAGTTTTGACCCGCGAATGTATAGAATCATTTTGATTCTTCTCGGTTCCACAAAGCGAATGTAAACTAGCAACCACTTATTAAAGATTCTGTACTTCTATGATTTCACTGGAGAAATTTGCCATCATGCAATGACAACACCAGTTCGAGTTTGTCTCCTGTATTATCCTTTCTGGGTTTACCTTTTTTATAAACTTCCTCATTGTTGATGACCAATTAGCGCTCGAGGAAACTAATTTGTCAGTCTTAACTAAGTTCCAACTTTACTGGGGTGTAATCTTTTTCTCTGTTGTAATACCAGGCTACTCTATTATAAACGCATTTTAATTCGTTCTTATACCATGATGATCTATTGGAGGACAGAAGCATAGATATCTTCGCACATTTTGCTTTTTTATCATACGGAACAAATAAATTCCATGTTGCTGTGGGTCTGTACAGTAATAGATCAAAGATGACATCAAAATGTGGTACCTGAGAACATCAGTGACACACTTGGCTGCTCCCTGTGTCCCACTTTTTTGTTCTTACCATATTTTGACGTCATCTGTGGTCTATTACTGAACGTTTCTAGAATGTAACTGGGTAATTTACTGTTATCAACTGAGTTGAAAACGTCAATTGGCCACCGTTAAGAGTTTGAAGGCTGACGTTTCGAGCGTTAGCCTTTTCTACGGTGGCCAATTTACGTTTTCAACTCTGTTGATAACACTAAATTACCCTGTTATACTCTTCCACCGACGCAACACAACAGTTTCTCTAGAAACTTACCGCCTTTATTCGTTTCTAGAATGTCTTTTGAATAATTTGAAGAGGAGAAAAAAAATGGCCCGGAAGATTCTTTGTGGCCATCGGAAACCACAACTGGTTCAAGGGGTTAAATTCAAAATTCCGCCATCTATTTAGTTCTAGAATGAATAAACCAGCGCCCTATCACTAACGCAGCGAGCTGATTGACTAGGCTACTCGTACTATTTATTTTGTGCGATAGAAAAGCAAAATGTTGTTGTCATGGTGATGTCATCTATACGTCTGTCCTCAAATAAATCATAAGTAGGAACCAATCAAAATGCGTGTATAAGCTCAGCTTATCTTTTAACTCTTAAACTCCCAGATCAAATTTGTAATTCTCCTTACTGACAACCATACAATTCTTATAATGTTAGTTCAGAGAATTTAGTATTGGATCAACTGATTATCCCCAAATTGATATACTTCTTTATTCTCATCACTTGTCTGCTCGATATTGTATTGATATTGTAAGGAGAAATTCTGTCTTGGTCAGTCATGGGAGTTAAAGGGTTAATGACAGATAGTCGAGCTAGGAGCCTAATAAGTGTGTAATTCTAAAAAAAAAAAGTGAAAACACGGGCTGATCTTGTTGTTCAGTTTAAGAAGATCAGTGCTTTTACACTAACAAAGTAAGATTCGCCATCGATTTTTACGCGTGAAAGTTGCTTCGGTCTTCCCTTACTAATTGACTATCATAAATCCATCACATGATAGAAATCTCGGCTTATAATATGCAGTTCACAAGTCCTGGTTAATCCTTTCACTTGCAAATCTAAGTATCAATTATCCGCTCGGTCATGATTGATAATACATTTCATCTAATTTTCTCTCTAAAATTTTGAAGTTTATTCAAATAATATCTCACTTGATGATCGATTTCTTCTCATTACCTTTCTGCTCGAAAATGTTTTGATATTGTGAGGAGAAGTTCATTATTGGTCACTCGTGGGAGTGGAAGGGTTTAGTTGTATTAAACCCTCGCCTATAAAGCGTTTATGTTTGACCCGCCAAGGATCCGATTAAATTTAAGATAACGAACTCATTTGTAACTACCTCGAAGTTAATAAGAGGATTAGAGCTTTCGGGTCGGGAGCGTATATAACAGGAGACAAATTAACTATAATCCCAGATTCTCATTTAAAAAATCGGCATTTCAGAAGCCAAAGTTGGCGTCAAGGTCACAGTTGTTGGCGAACACGTCACGTATTGATGGCTTATCTTGCGTTTCATCGCAAACATGGCGATCAAGGATGATTTCACTAGTTTTTCAGGGTTATATCTGCAGAAAGGGACTGTTTCCATGTGATTTACCGGTTACTTGTTATCTGTTAGTTATTTCATGTTACAGTCATCTAAATGTGCCCTGAACAGGTCTCAGTACCCTTTCGATGCTTCAGAAAGCTCCATTATTTCCCGTTCTCGGTCTTAAAATGAGTCATGCATAGGAAAACTTTTAATATGGCTTTTTATGAAGCTTGATCGTGGAAAGGTATGGGTGGATTTGAGACTCTCCAGTACGATTACTCAACATTAATTTGAATTTTACTTTCCAACGCAAACAAACATGACAAGTGTTGCATGTAAAATTGACGAAGTCGGGAAAGCACCCGTCAACAAGCCAGTCTATTTTTGTGCAAATGTAATCCTACCTGACGGACTGTATTTTTACGAGAAAGAACTAACGCTTGCAGGGTTTTGGACTTAACGAATTTGATGTTTCCGGTTAAACAAGTTGTGACCTCCGCACAACAGTGCTACTTGAAAAAGACTAAGATGACAATGCACAAACAAGTTCTCTTCACTCCTTAAAAATGAAGATATTCAAAATCTTGTGAAATGCTGTCGACCTCACAGATAAGTCTTTACAAAAAAGACAAGAATTTGCTAAGCGCGAACGATATTTAACAAGACTTAGAACTGCCACACATTTCTGCCTACATAGTTAAGTTATTGTTTGCCTTTTTGTCCAGCAGAGAAAGTGAATTATTGTTTTCTGCAGAATCCTTTGTACTTGTATATGATTATAATTACGAAAGGATTTCCAAAGAAAGAAACGCTATCTTCCAGGGTATAATGCGCTATAAATAATACTGACAGTCTTTTATGTTTGAGTGCAGGTGGCGAAATGTTATGATAACATGATATGTGAATTAATTAGACGCTACCATCGAACCTGATCAAGTCACAAAATTATGTGAGTATTTATCATATAGTCCTCAGGCGAAAGGAAATTTCGGCATCTAATTTCCCAAGAAACGCCCGTTTTCTATCCAGCTCGCTGTAAGCATTGTCATAAAGCCCTTAACAAACATATCAATAACGATTTTATCCCCGAGTGAGGCGACAACGGCGGTATTTATATAATGATGTAGTCAAGCCATCACGGATAATGAAGTCGATAAACTTAGCGGCGCAGTTAAAACGATAGTTGGAACTAATGCCTTCACCTCTTAGTGTATCTTTTCGTAATTTAACGTCGGAAATACAAGCAGAACGTTTCTTACCTCAAGGAAGAGCTAATGGACGGTGAGGCTGGCTTCTGAGAATTCGCGATGAGCCTTACTTGTGTATCCTTGTCATGGTTAGAAGTCATGTGTAGACGCTAGTTATCGCGCAGACTCTATGTTTCAGTCACCGAATGTCGCAATTGCGCAAGCGGCATAATAGATAATAAGTAAGTAAACAAATAAACAAAGGGGTCACGCAAGATGTATATAAGAATGATTTTATCGATTGAGTGATTGGTTGAACTCTTGTAAAATTCAGGGATTATTAGATATATAAGAAAGAAAAATTTGGAAAAAAAATCGGTTGAATTTGTCAAGAGCTCAAACGAGGTAGCGCGACCTCAAAGTTTTTTTGACGTTGCCGCCAGTATAATGAAATAAGTTTGAGATCTATTTGAAACATGACTTTCAGTCAAGAAATTCCCTTGCTTTCAACACATTTATTTGGTACAACAAAATTAGTTGAATACTCAGCGAAAGATTACCAAGTTGGCTTTCTTGAA